GCCAGGACTAGGGTCAGCTGTGGGGCTGGGGCCAGGCTGTGGCGCTGAGGGCTCTTCTGGGGAGCTGGGCTGTGCCGTGGGGCCGGGGCTGTGCCGTAGGGCCAGGGGCTCAGGGCTGCCTGCCCTGCCCTGCCCTGCCAGGCCCTGGGGTCGCAGTGTTTTGGGCCGCCTGTGGGCAGAGCCCTCCCTGACTGCAGTTCCCCATGCCAATCCCTCGCTGAGGCACCCAAATGTAAAATGTGCCATATTTAAAACAGCTCCTCTTGGTAAACCTCTAATATATACTGTGCTGAAGCAGTACAGACCCTCGCTCAGACCCATGGCTTCCAGCAGGTTGGTTGTTTTGGGGGTTTTTAATCCTTTGAGCTGGCAATATAACTGGTGATATGTGGTAAGTGCTCTGATGTGCTCAGAAGTCCCTCTTCAGAGGATGCTGAACTATAGCTTGTTGCCTTGGACTTTAGCAGTAAATGAAAGGCACACACCCCCACCGACCCAGGCTCCTAGGAAACTGAGGAGTCACTTGGGTGGCGTGTCCCTTCCGTAGCTCCTAGGAAACTCTGAGGAGTCACTTGGGTTCTTCCGTAGCTCTGCTCGAGGCTTACGGAGGGACGGACCTCTCTGTCTCCAAGCAGCTTGGCTTTGCCTTGGCTTTGCTCGGCATTGGTTTGCTGAGCATTTCGATTTCACTGTGGTGGAGGAGAAATCAAGCTTTAAATAATGCGTCACTGGCAAAATGTTGAGGAACAACCACAGTGGCTGTTCCCTTCTCTTGGCTTGTTTGTTTTGGGGTGATGAGCAGCAGGCGAGTCCGACTTTATCTTTACTGGAGAATGCCAAGCAATGAAAATTGGCTTTTTTTTTTTTTTTTTTTTCCCCCCCTGCTACACAAACCACAGAAAAGGAAGAGGAGGTGAGTGACCTTGTCCCCATTTCTCCAAAACGTTGTTGTGAGGTTGTGGCCTGGTTGTCTGGACTTTCAGACTGCTTTGTCCTGGTAAAGCACGAGTGGTCTGAGCACAGCTTAAGTTGGGGAACATGCAGCAGAACATGGCTTCATCTTTATAGGGAGTTAACATTGATCTCTGTTAAGCAGCTTTTGGTCACAGGAGAAGTCAAAATGGGTTTCTCTGTATTGAATCAGACATATTCAATTTCAAAGGTCTTCAGAGATTTTTTAAAAAGCAAAGCATAGTCAGTCTTACCCAAAAGTCTGCGATGGGAACTTGATCTGTCACTGCAGGAACAGCAAAAAGGCCAGATCTGTGCTTTGAAGTTCATTCCTCTCCCATTTTCACTGAGTTTCTAGCTTCAGAAAAAACATGTTTCTGTTCTTTCCATCAAAAACTTTCTTTACGTTGGGAAGGGCACAACTTCCCGATGCCCTAGGTCAACTTTAAACAATCCCTGACAAAGCCAGCACCTATAAATACACATATCCCACTGTCTGACTCGGCTGTTAGTGAACTGTAGGATTGCCGCCTGCCTATGGGGTGATACACCGGGTCGATTGCTATTTCTAGCTGCCATGCAGCACAAAAATGGGAGCTGTAAGGAGATTAAGCTCTCTAGAAGCTTTCTGTCCAGTTCCTGTAACTTTTCCCTCTGCTACCCCGTTCGCAGGTGCCTTGAGAAGCAATGGCCACAGCGGCTCTTCTGAACTTAGCACCATCTCACCTCTGCTTCCCTTCAAGCACAGCAGCCGCTTTCTTGTGGACAAACACCCCTGACATGCACGTCACCAGGCCAAAATCTGCCAAGGGGCGCACGAGGCCGAGCTTCAATTACTCTCAGAGCGTGGAAGCCTGTTCTTGCCGAGTGCTGCCTTCCCCGCTGCCAGCAGCTCCCCACCAATTAGTGAACAGCCGGAGAGCATCGTCCACAAAACCGGCATTCCCATCTGGCCAGGTGTCTCCTGAGGAAATCCCAGAGCTCCTGCAGCAAGTGCCTTTGAGGACCTCCTCTTCCCTGAACAAGTACAGGGTGCTCCCCTCCATCGGCTGGAAAGGCGTAGGGAGCGGCGCTGTGGAAGCTGTAGCTGAACAGACCGACCGGCTGAACGTGAGCGGGGAGCGGGAGGACAATTCGAAAATCAAAACTCTTACTGGAAAACAAGGATCTGACAGTGCATTGTCAGAAACTGATGTCCCTGATGAAGAAGGCTCATGCACGCAGCGTCCTCTTGAGAAGCCAGGAAGGAAGATGAGACAAGAGAGCCCTTCGACATTGATTTTAAGTGTGGAAGAGCCACCGAAAGAAGAGTCACAATTGCTGCTTGCTATTCGATCTCCCTCTGGTCTGAGATTTGAACATCATTTCAAGCCCACCGACACTCTCCAGACCGTCCTTGCTGTGGCGGAACAGAAAATGTCGGCCAAATACAAATGCTGCAGCGTCGAGACGATGGAGGTGCCCCGAAGGAGTTTCTCTGACCTTACGAGGTCCCTCCACGAATGTGGGATTCGCCACAAGTCTCTGCTGTGCATCCGACAGAAAGATCAGCACGACGCAGATCTGTAGGTGCACAGAAACACCACCTTGGGTCGTTTCACTGAGTGGGATGTGTTACTTCTTCCGAAAAACTGAGTGCCTGATAATTCCTGGGCCTACTTCTTCATCTTGCCATTTCTCAAAGCTTCCCCTTGAAGCAGACTTGTGTCTATGTGTTGAAATAGTATTTCCAGTGGATAGACCTGCTACATAAATAGCATCTTTTTTCATGTGTGCCATCACAAATCGCTTTCTGAGCACCACCAGCCTTTGACTTTTTTGGGTTTTTTGAAATTGTGAATTTTCTTCTTTGAAGACTGAAGTTTCCGAGACCTCTCCCCTTGTCCTTTTCCATACTTCAGGAAGGTCCCACTCTGGAGGACCATCTTAGTAGGTTATCACCATCCCAAACATCTTCTTGAGAGTGACTGAAAAAAGATTAAACCCAAAAACCATCTGGAAAAAAACAGTGATAACAAGTTAATGGATTATTGTGAAGTATTAAATTGCAAAACCGATGGTAATATACCTGTGAGGACTCAGCTCTTTCTGGATAACCTCAGTGCAGCTTTTAAGAGTGTGACTACATTGTCCTTTTGAGGACAAATAGTTACTATTTTGGCTGTATTGGTGACCAGCAGGATTTTCTACGTAGTTATCCTTTTCTCATTCAACTTGTGTGATCCATAGGTAAGAATAGATGGAGAGTTAAGATGGGATGTTACAGAATACTTCCATTTAACACCTTTACACTGAAATGAGTTAGCCTGAGAAAGCAAGTGCTGCTTTGAGAATTTTTAAATAAAAATATATTCATTGCATTTGAGTGAGGAATTGGCTCAGGCAGTAGACCATCTTTTACTAAACCATCATTTAAAAGGGCCGGTAGGGTACCTTGGCACGTTTTAGATAAATACAATGTGCTTGTGCTAAAAAAAAAAAAATTAAAAAAAAATTTAAAAAAAATCATCAGCCAGGTTTTAATGGAAATTCTTATGGTTCAAAGGTTCAGGCTACTAAAAAAATGGACCACTTGCCACACAGATGAGCTAATTTTAATATTTTGAGGTAAACCCAACTGTGTGTTTAACCAACTCAGAACGGTAGCAGAACCAGGACAGTAGCAGAAAGCCAGTGCCAGCATTGACCACGAGGTAGCTCATTCTAAAGCCAGTGCTCGGGGTCCAGCGGCTCTGTAAAACTGGTATCCGATGAAATAGCGTTACCTACTGCTGCGCGTGATGGTAATTGCACAGCAGCAATCCCGGTGTCTTCAGGGAGACCAGGGTGTCAAAACATTATGGGTGCTTTTAATCAAACAGTGGGGAGGGAAGTATTTCACTTGTGTTCAGGAACAGGAACTGTTTTCCGTGTTTAATTCGGTGTTAGGTGGTTAATTCTCTTCTGATTTTTCTTTTCTGTATGCTATGTTACTTCTAAGTTTCAGAGTGTTTTCATACTGTGTGGTAGTACAATCAATAAAACCTTCCAGGCTGAAACTTGAACTTAAAATGATTTATGTGAAGCAGAGGCTTAGCCATCGCCTCTCCTCTTAAACAAGAAACACCATTAATCTGATGGCAAATACCTTGACGACCATCCAAATCAGACTTTGGATGGTCAGCTGCCATCCACAGCATCTTGCCATGCCTTCCTGGAGTTTATAGCTCTGTCCGGTACCAAACACCAGACTGCGGCAAAGAAGGAAGCCCTTCGGATGAGTGACTGCCTGCTGCCAACAACCACAGACACAGTGACCACCACGCGGGTTTGAGGGCGCACAGGGGCCGGTGCTTTAACCCAGAACAGAAGAAGAGGAACTTCGATCAGAGCAGACAGCACTCCTCATGCTGGAGGATATTCCTCTGGAAAATCTCCACCCAAGATAAAGCTGAATGAGTTTGGTTCTCTAACAAACTCACCCAGGCTCCAGCATCTCCAAAGCTGTGCATTTTAATTATTTCCCTTTCCGAAAGCCACATCAAAGTCTTGATGGAGGCAAGCACAGTGCAGGGAAAATGCCTCTTTCCTTCCCATTTTCTTCCTCTTCCCTTCAAAAAAAAGTGTTGTGGAGATGCAGGGGGGCAGGTCTGGGCAGCAACTCTGACAAGTCTGGCACTGGGAGCGCTACAGAGGAAAAACAGTATTTATCTGACCTCATTTACGGTGCGGTATCATCTAACAAGCTCCCTTGCAAGCAGCTTTTCAGAATTTCAGCATTAAATCAGGTGAAGTTCAGTCTGTCACAGGATGCTTTGAGGCCATAAATAGCAAACTCATCAGAACTCCTGGCTAGGAACAACAACAAAAAGTATTCAAGCAAGAAACGACTGGAGGCATGGTTCAGTATGTGGTCTTTATTCCAATTAAAAGTACATTAGAAACAGCACACAGGACCAGCAGCAGCTTTCATGACAATTCAACCCAATACTCTGCTGTCACGAGGTCATTCAGCTGTACTATTAAAGTAGGTGATTGAAACAAGTCTTCCACTCGACACGCAAGCACTCACTCACCTGCCACTTTAAATAGGTTTCCAACAGAATAAAAATAGATACACCCCAGAATACAAAAAGTTTAATTTTAACAGGTTTTTTTTTTTTCTTTTCACTAAAGCCTTTATACAAATTGATAAAAGGGTGCACAATTTCCTAAAATTTTAGGTACATTTTAAATGAGCCTTTTTTTACTTGGTAAAAGGATCCATGTTCCTGTCTTTGAACAGAATATGATGGCCAAAATTGCAAAGAAAATTCCTAGTTAAATTTACAATTTGTACATTTGTTTTGAAGTGATTCCTGCACCGAGTAGCAGGCCGATGGCTGCTCACGCATGTCCCATTTTCCCCAAAAAAGAGCTGTGCACCCTAAGTTCTAGTTCAGGAGCCTCCTTCTCCTGGAAACCGGGCTGGGGGAACAACCCACAGGCTTTCAGTTGTGCGCATGAGAATGGTCCCAACCGCACTAAAAGCCCGAGCACAGAAGTTGTAAATCTTTCCTTCTCCGGCAAGGATCACCCTGGGGCGAGGGACCGATGACTTACGAGCACAATGAAAGTGGAGCGCTTCCCGTCTGCAATTTGGCTGAGCAATTTAACTCAAAACTCTGGTACTGAAACATACTGTAACAGGTAAATTTGGTGTTCGAAAGGTAATTTTTTTGGTCAATATCAGCTATCATGATTTTTTATTTTCTTTTATTCCTATTACCCATCGGTGAAGCCCAGCAGTTCTGTACGTTATTCACGCGGAGCTTCACAGTAGCATCTTAGAACTGGCACCACCTGCCTAAAGGTGACTGACCCCCACTCCAACAGACATTAGCATTTTATGGAGGTGAATTTATTCAGAAAATCAATTTGTACAGTTCCCTTTGTACTGCCCCTCCCTCCCCAGCCCACCCACCTACCTACACCTTGGCGAGGTTTAAACGCTTCAGATGAACTTCTCGAGTCCGTACTTGAGCGCTGTCACCACCGCACTGCTTTATGTATAGTGGCCATTCTAACAAAGCAAGGACAAATTAAAAGAAAATACTGCCCAGCAAAAGCAACACAGCACCTGTGTTTGCAAGTATGAGCTACTGGAGACATCCTTAGGACAAATTTTACGTAAGGAAAAGCAGGGCAAATCCATCAGAAAGCCAGAAATGAGTTTTAAAGAGCTCAGGGGAGCGCCAAAGAGAATGACATCCTATTTTGTACAAGTTGAGTTTTTAGCCAAAAGCCAGCTGCCTTGTTTGTTGTTGGTTTGGGTTTTTTTGAGTTTTTTCTTCTTCTTTACTTATGTCCATTATTATATTTGGCTGTTGAATTTTAACTGATCAGGTTAATGCTGACCTTTATTCCAATTAAAGGCAATAAAGCTTGGGTTTTTTAAAATTTGTTTTAGATAATTCCATACTGCCCATTTTTTGGCAAGCATATTTCTTAGAATTCAAAAGATCTTCCCGTTTTAAGGCTAAACTAAGAAATGTTAAAAGCTTCTGTAAACATTTCCTCTTCCTCCCCGTAGTCGCACAATTTGAAGTCCAACTGCAATTTTTAAAATGAGGTAATTTTTGTGTACTCGTATCTTAGAGTCCTTTTCGGGATGAGCTGAGAGGCGTGCCAATCTGAACGCTGATCCAATTGTAGTGAGAGAGCTTCCACAGCAGGGTTACACACCAGTTCCAGCAGCTGTACTTCAGTTAGTTATCTTCTCAATTTCATCCAAGTCGTCAGTATCCAATTTGTTTATCTTTTTGTCTGGGAAAGATGAGAAATAAGTCAGATTTCGTAACACAGAGCAGAGAAAGGACAGCTGTTTTCTTCAGCTGGTCTTGAGGGGTTTATGCATGAAACATTCGGTCAGGTTTTAAAACTACAACATAAAACTTTGATCTTTTAGCAAAGGCCCACCCAGGTACTTGGCTCTTACCCATCTCCTAGAACCATCCGTTTTAAGGACTATCCAGGTAGCCAACAAACAGACAACTCAACTTATTTCTGCTCCTATCACAATCCTATGTGACGCTACACAAAACGCAGCTGACGTGCTCTTCCGCAGTCAGTTTAAAGCTCAACAACTATCCGTTCGATCTGCCCAGTATACAGCTAGTCACAATTCTGCAGAAATAACATCCGATTTTAGAGACAGAAGAAAGTCTGAGGGTACGTACTGAAATGTTCCTGGATTCTGTTGAGAATATTCATGCTGTGCTTGCTGTCCACCATGTTGATAGCCAGTCCTCGCTTGCCAAAGCGACCTGTACGGCCAATCCGGTGCAGGTAAGTCTCGTTATCCGGATTCCCGTCTTTATCCACAGGAAGGTCAAAATTGATAACAACAGAGACCTGCTCTACATCGATCCCTGATAAAAAGAAAGCATCAGATTACACAACTGCATTTAAACCACTTGACCTGCCTGCAGTTTGGTTACCGGCAGAATTTCCAACAGCTTTCAGAGAACTGCCTCCACGCTGAGCAAAGAGTTAAAAGCCAGTCTCAAACTCCGAAATGGACCTTTCCCACAATATCCTTATGGCGTACT